TCTGCTCTGGCACCAAACTGTCCCTACTCCTAATTTTCCAAGCACATTTCTAAGGCTGGATTCCCTCCAATGTGTACTTTCCCTCTTCGTGCTTGCAGTCTCTTACTATTCCACACCGTCCTGCACACTGTCACTACATTTATAGACCCCATCCACCGCACCACGATCCCTCATTAAAAGCCACCAATGGCAGCCTATTGGCGTAATACCTATGCTCCCACTTTCTACCTCCCAACCTTGTAATGCAGATGGCAGAAAATGTAAGGTGATCACAGCACTCTCTCCGGAAAAGCAACCAGAAAAAAATCCTTCCCAACAGAATGTTTCAGTAACTAGTACTGACCAGTATGAACTAACATTTGGGAAGGACCTATTTAGATTCTGTTATGAAAGATCCCTGATGTAAAAGATATAAAACTCTGATATAAAAAAGTCAAGTCTAAACTGCTTGCTTTGTATTTCGGAACACCAGAATGACCCCTCTTACTCTCTCAAACTGTTATCTATCTCTCTATACATTATCTCCTATGAACCTACAGGGAAAAAATGTGAAAAGGCTTTGAAATGGAACAGAAACTTACTAGGTATCTTCAGTGAAGACCTAGTTTCTGCCTAGCACACCTGTCTGGGTTTTCTGATTCTGTGGGATCTCTGTGCTCTCACCATCTTTGAGTTATTTATAACTTTATGAGTTGCAGATAACTGATAACAATACAAATAATTTTTGTTCACAGACAATAAATTTTGTCTGGTAGGGTTCCATTGATTTTCCTTCCTCATTGTAGAAGAAGTCAATTTTGCCTTTATTGAAAATACATTTCAGCACTCTGTAGTGCCTATATATGTGTGGTTGTTTAAATGCTCCTTTAAGTCATTTGTAACTTCTTGTTCATTCCCTCATTAATTAATGAGTTAAATAAACACATTTGTTACAAGTTAATTTTATATGTGTATGGGAGTCATGACTTTACCTTAGAAAATCCTTTTAACAAACCCTTTTGTTTATTACTGCCTTAGACTTCGATTACATCCCCAATATGAAAGGTCTTCTCTGGCTCTTTCTACCTGACTACTGATTCTTCATATTTCAGAAATAAATTTAAGCTCCTTATCATGTCCTCAAACTGCAAAATCTATCATTTTCACAATGACCCCAGATCACAATGATGCCTCAGTTTTCTTTACAATTATCTTTTCTTCAAAAATAGCTTCTGAAAATGCATTATCTTTTTCATTCATGGACTGTATTTTTTTATTTGTTATCTTTCATCATTAATTCATTTAAATGAATGTGTCTTCTTTACCTAATTAGAGTACAAATTCCTTGAAGGCACTGATCACAATTTACTTTCCTTTTTTCTTCCTTGGCATCAACACACTGCCTCATATTGAGCCCAATACATTTCCACTGCTGAGTCCCATCCTTGGCCCATGAGCTGGGGCTCTCAGTCAAGGTTTTTTTTTTCCCCCATATAATCACTTAGCTTTATTTAGGGAATCAAGCCATTCTATTTTGGCTGAAGGTGGTTCCATCCCAGTAAAATTTACATTAAAATTTAGTGAAGATGGTTAGAGCTTCTGTGAAACACCAAATAGAATCTAGTATTGACCAGGAATTCTAGGAAATAAAGAATATATTGCCATGCTTCTGGGGAATTTCTCACAACTATTGGACCAATGCTGTTTATTCCTAAGTACAGTCTTATGTGAAGTTGAGATACTTGCAGTTTGACAGTCATTCTTTCATTCTACAAATGTTTATTGATTGTCTACTATACATCAAACATTTTTGACAGACCCTGGCAATGCATTTGCAAATAAAATGCAGTTTCTAATCCAAGGAGCTTACCTGCTATTAAAGAAAGAGAGGGAAAAGTTGAGGAAGACAGGGAAAAATGGGCATGGGACT